AGCCCCCGTCTATCAACAAGGACTGGATTCATTGTATCGAATTTGTTTCCCGACATTTTCAAGCTGCTTGCCCTTCCTCTCATGGCTCAGTCTTCACAGCCTTGTGGCACACAATGGTTGCAGGCAAAGACCCAAGCGGAATGCACCCATATCCGGACTCTTTTGCCGAGATACTCTCGCTTTTACTGGACGAGACTACTGGGCGGTCGCCGTCCCTGCCAGGACAGACGTATTCACCGAGGCAACTGCGACCACTAGGGAAGGGAAAGCTTACCATGGCTTCTCTGGAGTTGAGGCAGCCAAAGAAGACTTTGAAAATATCAGAGAGGCGATGAGAAAGCCCTTAAAGGGGAGGAGGTTGGTGAAGACTGAGGGGGTATATGGGATTGGTTCCGAGACAGGCGAAGGTGGGAGATAGGATTGGGATTATGAAGGGGTGTTGGACGCCTTTTGTTTTGAGGGGAGAGGACTCGATTGATGAAAACAGGTGGAAGGTTGTAGGAGAGGCTTTTGTGGAGGGGGTTATGAGGGGAGAGGGGCCGGATGGGATGGGAAAGATTGTGCTTGTTTGATGGTCAGGGGTGAGCACAAATCTATTTCTACGTGACATATCGATCACAAAATATGGGTCTCGAAAGTTCACTTCAACAACAAAGGAAATTTTATTTGTTGTCCTATACCGAGAAACCTGTATCCAAAACTCCGAGGTCCCGTCAACGCCACTTATTCAACCCCCAAAGCAATTCTACCTATCAAGAGCTCCGCCCGCAGATCCTCCGGCTGCGATCCATTATACTACAATCTTGCGAGGATCAGCAGTGATACCCTGAGCCCGGGCGTAGTCAACACCCTCCAGCGTGTACGGCTGGAGTTTCAACATCTGAACAATGAAGTTCTTCAAAGCGTCATCTCCATCAATATAGTGGGGGTTCATGGCTACCCTCTTGTCTCGCAGTTGCCATGCCGTCGCTGGGCGTTTAACAGGCTTTGGGCCTGCAGGGACATGGGCGAAGAGTGACATGGTTGGGTTGTTAGCATTTGGCAATACCACAACTATCGAATATGAGCAACAGACTTCTAACAAGCATTTTTTGACCCAGGGATGCGGGACTAGGTGCGAATTCAGGGTACTCCCCTTGGTACGCTGGATATCAGTCCAGAGAGTACCACCTCGTGTCTCCTTCCGGATATCCTTGTCGTCGTAAAAGGCCCACACGCTGTACCCAACGAATTTAGTTTCCCAGTATCGGCCGGATTCGCCCAGACTGAGGGCCATGACAGTTTTCAGAGGTACATCAATTTTTGGGGGTGTGTCGGTGTCGTTGATCCAAGTCAGCCTGCCAACAAAGACGCGCATCAGTTCATGGGTGATGGTGAGACTGACCACGATTAGATGCTTCTCAAGGTCTTGAAAATCATCTGCGGTCTTAGTGGTGAGAAATCTGTTGGCGGCAATACTGGTATTTTCCATCATCTGCGGTCTTAGTGGTGAGAAATCTGTTGGCGGCAATACTGGTATTTTCCATCATCTGCGTAACTGGACGTTAGTGGATGTGAAGCTGCAACACAAGGAATCTTGGGGAGCTAGCTACTGACCCTATTGTCAAGGAATACGACACTCGAGTTCTTGACTGAGTACGTTGACTTTTTGATATACTAGGATACTCGGCCGGTCGCTCCAACACCTAGGCACCAGGTACTGAAGATGAGATTGGGAAAGTGGACATGGACTGCCTAGAGCCAAGCGGTGATGAACGTAGAGTCGATGGACGTGGCACCCTCTCCAACTGCCCAATTCTTTCTGTAACGGGGCTTAACAGCATCTAGGATGTCGTTTTCTGTCTCAAACAGAGCTTTTCTTCCTGCCGTTGACTCGAGCATGGCCATGGCGAGCGTGATGCAGTGTAAAGTCACCTGATAAACAGGGCTTCGAGGGTCCAAGAAAGGGACAATTTTAGGATCGGTTTCATGCTTTTTCCACACGATGCGGATGTTGGAGATTTTTGGACCTGAAGGAGATGGAGTTCTGGAGGGAAGTTTAGAAGGAGGTGCACCGCTAATGAGCTTTGTAGGCGGCTTAGGAGACATATTGACGACTTGAGGTGGAAGGAAGGTGATCGAAACGACAAAGGATCAGATTATACAGGGGCAAAAACACCGGGCTTGAAAATAGCCAGCTGAGAATGAGATAGTTGATGAGAGGAAAGTGGCATTCTAAACCGTGACTTCATACCGGCTATATACATCATTTGACTTCTGAGGTCAGCCTAGAAGCTATATCAAGACACCACTTCATGACTCAAGTTCCAATGACCAACAATTGTCCGTTCTAAGTCCTAAAAGATGTTTCAGGCCAAGTAGAAATATCACCTACCGCCGCGACCCTCAACAATATTGTCCCCTTTCTGGTCAAAGGTCTTTGCAGAAGAACAGTGTCTGCATATCGCGGCAGGAGATGGTCAACGGCGATCGTGAGGTTTCATGCCAACTCGCACACATAACCACCCTCATGAGGTTGGCCATGACCCCTCTGTCCTGCAACCCGGACCGGGGAGCAAAACATATATAGATGAGTGATAGTGCAAGTTAAACCGGTAGTTGTTGGAGCCAAACAGGTACTTGTGCAGCAGCACCTCTTCAAGGAGAACCAACCTTTCTGTTTACATGTGGCGCAAACCAAATGTGGGGCTCCCCGTTGTCTACAACTTCAGCCTATTGGTCAACCTGGTCTTCCGCTTCTTATCATCCCCTTGAACTTTTCACGATCACGAAACAGCAGAAAAGTATCGACAGGTATATACTCTCCAAAATGAACGAAGCTACGTTAAAGTCACTCTCGGTGAAGATGAAGCGACGCGCACGGCTCGACCATGCCGCCCGCTGTCCCTTCCCCGGGAAATGCGAAAGCGCAACTTACTACAGTCTGTTTATCCGCGCCATGAACAATGTCCTCTCAACCGAGCTAGCTCAGTTCACCTATGCTAAAATCATCGACGGTCTTCCCATCGAAGACGTAACCTGGGACCGCCGCGTCCCCGCTGTCTATGATAACCACCCCATCGAGCACCACCCCGACCTCTATCCCCGTGCTCTGGATTGTGCCTGCAAACACAAAGAAGAGATCTACTTTTTCATCCCCTCCTTCAACCCCGGCTTGATAAATGCCTACACCCAATCCACACCCGGCACCAAAGCTTTCAACACGCCTCATCGAGCTTGTCGCTATGGCGTTGAATGAGATAGGGGTGATTCTATTTCAGATGGATATCCGACTCCACCAGGGATAGAGAGACCTCTCAATTGAAGCGATCATCAACTGGAAGGAAGACCCCGATGAGGAAACACTTCCCACCATGATTCATCACCCTTACTATTTACATTGTGCCTAGCCGTGCGGGGACTACGCTTCGGTACTACGCTTCGGTACTAGCAACTGTTGGATGGTCAACAGGAGGAATTGATTGAATTTTTTATTGGGGATGGTGAACCTAAGGGGGATGGTCCACTTCCACTGAAGTGCACAGATGAGAATACTGTCAGGATTGATGAACGGTTTGTGGTTGTGCCGAGGGAAGTGTATAGGGATGTTTGGGAACGGTTGCCGCCGTCGATAGAGCATATGAAGCATATGGATCGGAGGCCGAGAAACGAGGGGGATTATCCGGAGGATAGGACGGTGGAGTTGATGAGGACTATTGAGGAGGTTTATGGGGAAATAGATGGGGGTGATGTACGGGATGATGTGGGAATGGGGAGGAATGAATGTGTATCCGTGACTGCTGGAATTCATTGTTGGGGCAAAGTAGAGAGGCGAACGATAATAAAAATGGCTACGTATCAATGAACTGTTGACAGAATAGGATTGGATATCATAACCGGGATACAGAAGAACCCCAGAGTCGTGTCGGTGATCAGGGTTGATTTCAATTCCTAACAGCCCCCACCGCATTGTCATGCTCAGTAGAGCATCCCATTTTCCTTTCAAAATAGCCGGGCACACTCAGTTTTCTTTCAAAGTCAAGCTAGTAGATGAAACAGAAGAGGTTCACCTTGACGCAGTGTTGCTAGCATCATGGCTCAGGCTCTGTATCTTGTTCTGATTCATATGGTTATCGCCGTTTTGCCGACCCCAAACTTCTACTAATTGACAATCTGTGACTTCTTGAAAAGGCACCTCCCGCGATCCATCGCATACACGCGTAACGATGTGCGAAAGAGAACGGGGAAGTATATCGTCGGCGAGCCTCCTGAAGAAATACGACCTTTTGTGGACGTCCTTGTACGTTTCTTTGTTGCATTCCTGGGAGGAGGGGCAATGCTTGTGGTACTCATGCTTATCATGAGACTACCGGAAGTCGCCTTGGTGAAGAACCTAGTGACAGTATTAGTTTTCAACCTGTCTTTATTTTTTTATTTTTTTATATTTTAAAGCGGGCAGCACAGAGACAATGATTGCTACAGCGACATATGCCGCAGTGCTGGTGGCATTTGTTGCTTTTCCAGAGGGTGGGAATTGGGTGGCTTTGAATTGACTTGGGCAGTTCTCTGAAATAATCAAAGAGCATATTGAGCCAGGGGTACCTTGTCTCTGAAGAGAATGATGATCTGAGTCATGATATCCACACAACCCAGTTCTCATTACTTGCTATACCCTGTTTTCCTCATCAGTTTCCATCCAAATCGGAAACCACACTCTCAATAATCGGGTATGGTGTAGCGGTAACATCGTTGACTCTCACTTCTCAGAGGTGTCTATCAAGATTCAGTTCTGAAATCTCTCAACAGCCCCGGGTTCGACTCCCGGTATCCGAGTCCCAATCTGTTTTTGGTAGATTTTGACTTTTGCCCTAACTCTTCTGCCTGTTGCTTGCGAGGCTGGTTTTTTGAGCGTGTGTGTCTGCCACAGAAAAAAGTGAACAAAAGGCAAATTTTTCGCGCCTGTGGGGGGTCCATGGGAGAAGTGGTCTTGAACTCACGATCTGACAATCATTCTATTAACAGGCTGTGTAGCGCAATGGTAGCGCGTTACTTTCCGGTTTTATTCAACCTGCATGAATAAGTTAAATCTCCAGCTGGTAAAGGTTCTGGGTTCGAGTCCCAGCATGGTCGTTTTTTTTGGCTTTAGGTAGTATCTTGCGTACTACCTTCAATGTGGCTTTGTTCTAGAATGACACCTTGGGGCTGTGGTCTTTTGTGGCGATGACCACACTGGCGATGTTGTATCTGTGTGGAGACGGAGAAGGCTGCCGCAAAGCTTCGTAAAGAGGTGCAATGCTGCTAAGCAGCATCAGTAGAACCCAAAGATCCTTGATAGCTAAGGGACCTAAAATGCACCAGATTGACCGAAGATTAATGGCCGGTAGATGGTACGAAGCCGAGAGCCAAGACGACAGAGGAACCAGAGCCGCTCTGGTGATCATGGATGATGACGCTTCTTCTGATGATAGCAACGGTGGGAGCGAAACCAGTACAGAGGATGGTCGGGAAACCCCCAGTGAGGGTCGTCCTGAGAAAAGGCGGAAGATTGACTGAGGAGTTAGTATTGCCTGGGTATTAGCAGTACACCGATCAGTTGATGCGTCATGTTCATGGGGTACATTGCCGAAGGTTGTGGAATATTTTGTAAGAATCGTCAAGAACTCTTTCATAGTAGATACCTTTCCTCTTCATCATGGCATACAAAGACAGCGCGCATTGTTACTCCCACCCACAGACCACATCTCAGCCTCCCAAAAGCACTTCAAGCAACCCCCTCCCACTCATCCCACCACCTTCAATCTCGCGCCCTAATCCTAACCCTAAAGTCCCCTCCCTTCTCAATCCCCATCATCCCCACCCCCGGCCTACTATCATCCCCCTTGGGCATCCATTCACCCCCTTCTACCAAAACCTCAAAGTCAAACTTCCTCACCAGCACCGCCGCCGCCTTTTTCACCTCCCTCTCAGCCAAATACCTGCCCGGACAGATACTTTTCCCTCCACCAAAAGCCCTTACACTTCCTCTCGCCGACGCCGGCAAGCTTTCCCACCTCTCCGGGTTAAACACCTTGGCATCAGCCCCAAAAACAGCTTCATCAAAGTGAAGCACCCTGTATGGTATCATCAACTTTGCCCCCTTGCGCAAAAGAAACGAGCCAGGGGCCGGGAGGACGGTGTCGGCTGTTACTCGGCGGGCGGAGATGGAATTGCTTCTGAAGCGGAGGACTTCGAGGTAGAAAGACTCGAGGGTGGGGCAGTTGCCGGGGGTGAAAAAGTGGGAGGAATCGGTTAGGTCCTGGCCGGTGAATGCCGGGCTGGTTTCGGCACGGATTTTGGAGAGGTAGGAAGGGGAAGAAGAGAGGAGGTGTGTGAGGAACCAGAAGAGGAATTTCGGTGTGTTTGAGTTTGCTCTATGGTTGGTGTTGTTAGCATGGTAGAACAGGCAGGTATCAAGAGGGTGTTAAAAAAGAACAAGAGGGGAATGGAGGCCTACGCAAAGTAGAGCATGAGAAATACGACGGCTTTGTCGTCTTCTCCTACTCCTAGCTTGTCTAGAGCGAGCTCAAGATTGGGGGTGAACCAGCTTGGGTTTTGCTTGTCTCTCTCCTCTCGGGGCAGGGCAAAGTAGTTTTTGAACTGAGTTGTGAGTTTATCCTTGATAGCGGTTAATGCTGGAGCTAGGAATGGAGGAAATTGGTACAGGTCCTTCCAGTAGAGCTCGTCGTAGATCTGGAAGTCTTTGGCCACGTCCGGATGGATCTGGGCAAGGGCGGGTCCAAAATACGCGTGTTCCCCTGCGCGGATAGAAACCTCGTTGATGAACGCATAAAAATTTACTTCCAAGCCATCTTGAGCGAGGGAATACTGTTGGAGATTTGAGATGGTCAAGTGGTTCTGCAGCCATAAGAGGATGGTCTGATCTAGTGAGGACAGGTTGCCATTCTGAGAGCTAGGAGATAGCTGTGTGACGTGCAGTTGACGGTTCAGATGCTCAAAATGCTTGTCTTTCATGGGGTGTATAAAATGGTCGACTGTCGAATCAACAATGTCTGGGTCGAGGTCGTAGGTCTTGGCAATGCATCCCAGACTTAAGCCAGTGGCTTTCAGGATGTCGAGTGAAAACTCGTAGAATGAGAAGTTGCGGGTGCTCTTGAATATTTCAGCCATGTGCTTTGGGTGGGAGATGACATAGAAAGTTGTTCCGGCCGCTTGAAGAGCGAAGGGCTGGCGATTTTCGCCCGACAAGATGTTCCTGTTCTCATTGTCAGTGCTGGTTCTGGGCCTATGCGAACCGGGAAGCATACCATCCCTTTGTCAAAACAGCGGTTGAGTTCGAGAATAATGAGACTGCGTGGCCAATGACTTCTTCGCTGTCAGCAATCGACTTGGAAGAAATTTACAAAAGACAAGACTTACAAGGAATTGTGTAAGGCAGCTCTTTTGGATCATTTGGTCGTGTTAGAGGTGACAGTATGAACTTCCACACACGCCAAGTTATCCATGCAACGAATAGTAACAGCGCGCTCGTCAAGAGCGACATGTTTCTAGAGCTCTGGCGCAAGAAACACAGCAGGTTTGAGGCCAGGCAAAAGTTCTGATGGAGAGCGAGAATAACAAACACCAAGACAAAGTTGACTTTCACGGCTCTAGATATCCTTATATCCTATCGCTGACGTCTGCGGCTGTTGGCTGCTGTTGGTTGCTGATGCGACCCAACCACTTACAGTCACTGAAATTAAAGTGTTGGATCTTAGCTGGAACCCCCACATATGGTGACATTGAGACAAAGAACAGACGTGAGAGGCTACACAGCTCCCGAATACCTACACAAATCCCAAGCGTGAGCTACAGATATCTTAGTCTGATATCAACATCACTACTCTTCGCAGACAGCTAGGAATCAACCCAGCCAATGGTCTTACACCGTTTTTGATAGATGTGGGTCCGTCTCAGGCGCTCAGGGGTTGTCGCAAGCTCGATGGGTCGGGTAAAATGGCCCACTAAAACCGATCTGATGGGAGCTTTTTATAGCTGCAAGGTGTGGCTGAAACTGGTACACCTAAAGGAAGTGCTGTCAGACGCAAAGGGTATCGTGAAGTGGGGATCATCAACGATGAGAATGGGCGAATGGGAGTTGTCTCGCTGTCGTGGGCGTGGCTGGCTGGCAACGAGTTTGACAGATACTGGTCTGGACCTGAGCTAAAATATGAGCGGGAGAGAGCATTTGAGTTGAAATGATGGATTTTAGAGATGGCTGGTTGGGGAAATAGTAGGTACCCAAGGACACGTGTAAGTTGCGGAGAAAGAACCATCGTCAGAGCCAAAGCAGTCACCGACCCACCAGATAGCATAGAGTTCACAAGCAAACACAAACTAGAATATGCATCCTCTGCACTTCAGATGAGCGCTTGAGTCTATTCATTAATCAATTTCCATCTGACATTATGTCAAAACCGGAAGATTGCGACCTCTCATCCCTGCATCAAAGTCCATTCGAGCGTCGGACGAAAGCCCCCAATGGACAAGTCGCGGGAGTGGTTTCGAACAACGGCGTCCCTCAAACAGAGTTTTCCAAGGCACACAGCCATGCCAGACTCAAGTTTCACTACACCACAAGCAAAGCCTTTCAGGCGCTCCAAATGCAGTCCACGTGGCTGTTAGCAGGAGATGTACCAGCCAGCACCAGGCGGTGGCTCGTGCCGTTACAGTTTGTGATTCTGCGCTTACTTTTGCCCCGAAACAAACAGGTAACCGGAGAAAGTACAAAAAGCCGTCTGACTTGCCCAATTTCAGACCTGCACCTCAGAATTGTTGATATGTCATTAGCATATCCCCCCAAAGAGGGAGTCTGAGCTGTCGTAGCAAAGAGCTCTTCACGGACGGAAGACCTGACAAGAAAATAGAACCAAATACCCAGGTGAGCCTGCTCTTTTCTTTTAACTACTACTCAATATTTTTATTTTATCAATTGTTGTGTTATGCCTGGGGCCGTGCACAAGCGATGGGGTGCTGTGGCCCTCGTTACTTCCTTGACACCAACAAGGTGGGAGAAGGATCAGACGCTTGGAAGCAAGAGCTTACTGACGTCCAGGATAGAATCATGTGGGATCCGGGGGAGCTTCTGAGAATAGTGATGACAACAAAGCGCTGGGCAGCGTGTCCGTCTCGGTCTACCTACAGTTGCACTGATGATGGACCCTGCAAAATCCGAGTTCTCTAAATAGCATCACATATCTAGAAAGAAAAATCAGAGACCTGCGGCGAGTGGCGTCAGTTACCGAGGTGTCTTCAGTATGCAGGTAGGTGGGAAGAAATGATATATGGATATTTCTAATCTTCTTAACTGGCTTACAAAGTCTACTCCGTCCACTTCTGGCCTCGGAGAGGAGCCAAGAGCAATATACCCAACACCTATGTTTAGTTTGGGGTATGGCGCGGGGCCATGTCAAGTGAGATGAACATGGCGTTCTCAGATGTCGCTTGGATGACCATAGAGAACTCTCCATCACCCGTCAACAGCTGTTCTTGCTGTTGTAGCTGGAAATCATGTGATGATGTCGAGGTCACTGGCTGGAAGAGACACTCTGAACATGAACAGAAGGCACAGTCAGGCGCCTGCACCATGAACCATCCGCTGTTACTCCATATCCAGCTGGAAAGCGTTGAAACGGGTCTTGTGGATATTGGAGAGATACTTGACCCGTTAGGATGTCAGGATAAAAGACCAAATAAGATTTATTTCTCGGATGTCTTGGCCGATGTATTCAAGGTTGTTTCGTCACATCATCTTGCTCTGAAGGCCTCATATTGAGAAGTAACGGCCGATTCTATGCTAGATACAGCTATTGATAGTTCACTTGCCAGTAAACCCATCTTAAGACACTATACTTAACGAAGTGATTGCGAATCTCATACTAAATAGGCCTGCAAGACGTTCACCTTCACAACGAGACCCAAGGACAAGTGAGGAGCAACGAAACTTGATAAGCAGGGCCACCCAGCATCAAGGCGACCCACTGCAGTTCACAAAGCTTGCCGCAACATCCATTCAGCACCCTGCCCGACGATACTCCTGCAGGACGTACCTCACTAGGTTGCCAGGAGCGTCATTAATTTTCACTGCGTCGACG